TTTGCAGCGAACCATTTTGGATCACGGTTTTTTCATAGACAATAAAAAAATATATAAGTGCGCAGCAGACTCTAGAGATGCAAATAAAACTTTTGATCTTTATTAAAAGTGTTTCCAATAGCTCACAATGCCCCAAAAAGTGTCCAACAACNGAAAATGATTATTTTAACAAAATGTGTTTGAAATTACAAGCCAAATAAACTTAATACCAATATTAAGCTAAACATTTTTTAAGTTGAGATAAGTTGCTGGGAAGATTGTGAAAAAAACAGTAAAAGTTAAAAAATCTTTAAAATTTAACTTGTTTTTCTGCCGGTAGAAGGCAACAAACACATGGAAAGAAAACACAAAGATTGTAAAGGAGAGGAAATTCGCCGTCCATCGCAGCACTTCGAAAACTATTTTGAGGGACGGAGAATAGTTTCCTTCTCGTTTACAATCCTTGCTATCACATGTTCATCAATGACAACAAACTGAACTCGACCTAAAATTATCATTTGACACTTCCATCTTTTGAATCCACTTCAACAACTACTACTTGATTGAAATGAGAAATGAAAAGACAACGGAAGAAACCACAACTACTCCAAGTAATAAGTTCAGCCAAAGTTGAGCCGACAACTGATCTGACTTACAATCTCTCTTCTTTAGATCCAAATTCACTCTTTGACTATGTTCGTTCTGAGTTGAGGCGTGGATATGAGCTTCAAAATGACGAACAACGATACAAAGAAAGACGAGACAAACTTTACCTAACATTGCACATTCCACTTCATTTGGAAAAGGTAAGTGATTGTTAAATCAAATCAACTGTTTTTGTAATAAAAAGCTAACAACTTGTCTTGCAGTTTTTAGTTTTTGGCTTTTTTCAATGCGTGGATGCATATTTGTTTGTTCTCACGTTTTTGCCTTTCCGGTTTTTGCTGGCTTTAATACTCTTCTTTGTCAGAATATTCAAAGCCTTCGTTAGGTAAGCATTGAAACAACTTGTGGCTCTCACCGACTGTAAACAACCATCTTTCAACAAAATAGACTATGCTCAAATCGGATTCAAGCATTTTCAATTCTGAACCCAGCAGAAACATGCGATTTGCTGAAAGGCTTAATCATCATTTGTGTAGTGTACATCATGAACAGTGTAGACACTTCAATGATCTACCACATAATCAAAAGTCAATCTGTTATTAAGCTGTACATATTCTTCAATATGCTCGAGGTAAGTCCAGCTAAATACTCTGTTGATGCGTTGCTAAAACTGCATTCACAAAATAGGTTGCTGATAAATTGTGTTCGTCTTTTGGTCAAGACATTCTTGACACGCTTTACTGGTCAGCCAATGAGCCTCGAACCAAAAAACGACAGTACTTGACAATTCTCTTCAACTTTTGCTTTTCCGTTTTTTACGTTTGTGAGTGTTTGTGTTACCTGTGCTCGTATGAGACTTTTATTAACTTTTCATTTTAAATTAGTTACTCACACACTTTTGGTCCTGCTTCAAGCAACCACTCTCAATGTTGCAATCAACTCTAAAAACAAGGCACTTCTCACTGTCATGATGTCAAACAATGTAATATGGTGTTATTACCTTGATCAATGAAATGACACATTTAATAAAACTTTATTTTCAGTTTGTCGAGCTCAAAAGTATGGTTTTCAAAAAGTTTGAGAAAAACAACCTCTTTCACATGTCGTGCAGTGATGTTCGCGAACGTTTTCACTACATCATCTTACTGATGGTCGTCATTGTTCAAACGATGAAAGAGTACAGTTGGTCGGAGAAACAGTTCTGGATTCTCATGCCTGACTGTGCCTGGGTCCTGGTGGCTGAAGTTTTTGTGGACTACTTTAAGCACGCCTTTGTGACGCGTTTCAACGAAATTTCCGGTGAAGTTTACGAGGAATACTCACTCTCACTTGCCTTTGATCTTGTTGGAAGTAAATTGAAAAGCGTAAGGATTGAATGTTTTAAGCTAGAAGATTTTTTAATCCGCCTAACTTTCTCCCCCTGAATGAACAGGCCTTTTCTGATCATTGTGATGTGATATCTCGCCGAATGGGGTTCATTCCACTACCTCTTTCGATACTTACTATTCGAATCTTTTTCGGCTCCTTTAGCTTTACCGACAACTACTCGTGCCTTTGTCTGCTGTTTACCTTCCTCTGGTAATTTTCTTGGTGGGAATTTTCTTAAAAGTGACCTTTTAACACATGTTTTATTTTTCAGCTTACTCACATTTAAACTGGTGGTAAATATCGTCCTTTTGGGAGCCTCGTGCCATATGATTTCCGAGCATCGTCAAGCGCTGGACGACAAAGTGAGCAAAACATTGGGAGGACAGTCGGCTAGTTTACCTGCGAGCCGGCACAACAGCGTCACCGATCTGACCATTCTCGATGAGGAGGAGAAGCTGATGGAGATCAAGGAGAAGATTATCGAGCAGTCCAGTCCAAGCAAGCAAGCGGTGGTGGTGGTGAACAGCATCAACTCGGGCGCACGCAGTACACCGCACTCGCCCAGCTCAAGTCCGCGCAACAGTCTGGAGGACATCACCGAGCAGGTGGCCATTGCGCAAAACACCCTCGATCACTCTTCGATCATCCTCTCTGACAGCACGGTCAGTCTGGTGTCGATGAATGATGGCCAGAACCTGAAGCTGCCAGACGTTCCATCGGCGCAAAAGGAGAACGCCAACAAATCAAAGCTGCACAAAGTGAGCAGTCCTCGACGGAAGCTCTTCTCTCTCAGCAACTTTCCTAGTCTGAAGCGACGGGTCTCACTGCAAGAGCTGTCGAACAATGTCGATCTCCCCACTTTCACCGAAGGCGGCGGCAGCAAACAAGCGGACCCTCCTAATCCTGTTGCCGAAACTTCAGCTAAAGCTAAAATCTCCTGACATTTGAGTTTTTCTGAGAGCGAGCCAAGTTGGAGGCCACCTTCCCGCCGCTGTCTTGATTGATGTCTCTGTTTTTGGTTGTGTAAGCGAGTTTTTCTTCCAACAAAATACAGGTTCTCCTTTCATATTCTTGCGCATTGTTATTCTCGGTGTAAAAGAGATGCAAAGAACACTGACACTTTGGCATAAGTGCCAGTTGCAGTTTATGCTGTTGTTGTTGCTTCAAGTGACAGTGTTCAGTGTCTTTTTCAAATGGCAAGTGTCATCGTTGATGCAATCGGGCGGCAAACAGAGAAGTGCTTGCCTACACTACCAACAACGCCAACAGAAAGTAGCTTGCTTGAGGAGCACATCTACATCACAACAGCCCCCCGGCCTCGCACCTCGGAAGCAACTGCTACCGATTACTACACTACACCTGTACGACGGTAGTCACTTTGATGGAGAAGTAATTAAAAGAAGAATCCATCATCCACCGTTAGTCTGCTCACATTATTTTGCAGAGTTGGTGGTGGCCGTTATCAGCAGCAGAGCAATTCACTGCAGACAGCAGTGTTACTGGTGGTGGTGGCGCCGTACAGTCAGCACACCACTGTTGCACTGGTTGTATTGTCTCTCTCACTACCAGTGTACTGCTTTCAACCGATGCACCCCGAAGAACAACAGTGGAAACTCTCCGCCCGATCCTCTGGGCCTTGTGGGGCTAGTTCTAAAACCAACCTAACAATCACTTCGAGATGGTGATAACTTCGAGGAATCGGCACTTTGAGAATATGTCTGCGACAGGTGTGTGACAGCCCTCGCTGTTCAAATTCAGTGTCTTTGTGTGCGTGTGTGGACAGTGTCCACTGGACACTGTCAGCCCCTACTGAATGCTTCAGGTAGGTAGAGTGAAGCGCCTTGGCGCCCAGTCCATGGGAAGCAGCAAGTTCAAGTGATCCTGCCGGCCTGGCAACAGCGAGCCATGCGCACTGCGATTCAGTATCTAAGCGATTGAGGGCAAAGAAGTGGGCAAAGATATAGCAGAGGAAGAGGCAGAGAGAGAGAGAGAGAGAGAGAAAGCTACTGCAGTGTTGCCGTCTCTCCACTTTTCCACTTGGTACATTAGTCTGTCGCTGCTCGTCGTCTTCTAACGCAGCGTGCTCGCGCGTACTCACGCTTCCTCGCTCTCTCTCTTGCTGGCTTTTCACACAGTTCCTAGCTCTGCTCCTGGACGACCACCACCACCGACGCACACTCGACCCGGACGCCCTCAATCACAACAAATGATTCACTGATTACCCTTTTTCACATTACCACCACCACTGCTACCAATCTGGTCCTCGAAGAGATACATCGCTGATAGTGCGTTTACTGTACAGAGCTCTACTGACTGTTTTTTGTTTACCTCGGAGACGGTGCTCTTTTGCTAGTTGTACCTCGAAGCTGTGTGTACTTCGGTTCACTCTTGAGCACCGTTTTTCTGGGAGCACTTCAAAATGAAGCCAGACATTGTCTCTTTCCTTTTTGATAATCGCTTTTTCTGCGGTCTGTGCCATACTCTTGTCAATTCTATCTAACTCGTCAAACTACCAACAGGAGACAACCTTCTCGCTTCCTACCTAAATGGCGTGGTTCTATATGCCAGAAAATTGAAAACTTCATCAAACATCTCTTTTTCTACTTCAAACTCATCTCAATTTTGATAAACTTGTTTTCTGATTGTGCTTCTGCGTCCTACCATTCAGAGAGTCAACTGCAAGCTGTTATTTGAAGTTTTTCTCGGATTAGCTCAAAATATAGTCGCTGAACCTGATCTTCCATTTCATTCATCTACGCAAGTTATCGAACTTAAAATTCAAAATCCATTCAAATGTCGATTTTACGCGGAACCAAAAAACTTTTGCTTGCCGCGGGCCTGGCCGGTTGTGGAGCAGCTGCTGCCGTGATTTTTACTGGTCTCCACAAGGATACGGAAAGCTTCAAAGCTCACGCCTCAGCCTTGGCAGTCCCCTTCCAGGACTTCAAGTTCTCCAACTTTTACAGTAGCCCAAATTCACCCAAGTGGGACTACAACTGGGACCGGCGAGACCCTAGCTCAATTATTCCTCCATTAAAAGGCGATTTCGGTGATTTACCGGAGAGTGATCAGAATGCCTACAAGGAACGGCTGCAAAAGGCGAAAGCCTCTGCTACCAGACATATTATTCTCATTCGCCACGGCCAGTACAAGATGGACGGCATCACTGATGAGCTTCGACAGCTGACCACACTGGGTCGAGATCAGGCCAACCGTGTTGGAGAGCGCCTGAAGGAGCTTGAGTTACCGTACACGCGAATCGTCAAGTCGACCATGACTCGTGCCACCGAGACCGCCGATATCATTCACAAACACTTGCCCAACATACCAATTTCTTCATGTGATTTCATTCGTGAAGGTTCCCCCATTGTGCCCGAGCCGCCAGTCAGCCATTGGAGACCTGAACCAAAGGTGCGTATTCACTTGCCGTACGGCGTGCGCTCATATTAGTCTGTCTCTCAGCAGACGCGTGTCTGCTCGCTGTAGAAGGAACAGGTTTTCTCCGTTAGTTAAAAATCTTGCCCATGTAAACATTTACTAGCCCGATCACATTTGTGACGTCTTGATCTAGTTAATTTGTTGCCGCAGCAGTTTTAGTGATAGTGCACTGCCACACGAATGAATGGTCTAATCAGCGAAAGTATACATTTAATTGCGTTTCATCCTGCCCTCACACGTCAGTTTGCTCCTTGCTCTCTTTAGCTTGGACTGAACTGACATACATTATTCAGCAATACTTTCGCCGGTCAATTCTCCGGACGAGTGCACCAAGCTCAGCTTCATACACTGTTATACTTGCTCGACTTGTTTCGTTAATATCCGTGTTGATTGGTCAAAAAGTGTGTGCATTTGAACAGACAGGTGTTCTGTTGAGGGCATGCTTTTAATCTCCACTTGGCTATTCTCTGAGGGATACCTTATGAGGGCGGTGACAATTGACCATCGTGGATATAATCATCGGTGGGTGCTATTTCAAAACTACCGATGATGAAACTACCTTGATGGTGGTGGTCTGCAGAAAGCATTGAAAGCAATTGCGGCGACGGCATCGACAGCGTTGCGAGCTATAGCTTACCTTTGCCAGTGTGAAGCCTCTTTTTACAAAAAGTACATTTCAGTGCTTCCAAGGTCGAGTGCGGCAGATACTGATGCGACGCGCGCAGAAGTGTTTCCCTGTGGCGTCGGCGAATGCTTATGCATTCGTTGTGTCTGGTTTGAATAAGCTCGGTTAACGCCACACTTATGACTTGGCACGGATTCACTTTGAAGAGTGAGCGAGCACATAAACATTGACTTCCCTCTCTACCCGTACCGTGTGTGCAGCTTTCTTATAGTGACATTTACATTTAGCGCAAATTGATGAGCTTTAGGCATCAACAACTTGAGCAAAACGGCAGCAAGAGCGGCATTTCTTGTGATTATGTCATAGACTCTACAAATGTTTTGATTTAAAACACCTAACTACAGGGATTTGCTTGACGAATCACGAAATAAATATTTGGCAAAGCACAAAATTCATATTTTACTTTTGCCTGACTGTTATCTCGTGCGTCGTCTTCACTTGCTCAGCTGATAATTAGTTTTTTGCCGATAATAAGCATTTGCTGATTGCTTCCCTCTTTACTTTTATGCAACAAATCAAACACGTTGTTGTTGGTGCACTAACTTCCAACATACCTCTTTGTGTTTTGAATCGATTCGCCTCTTCAGGCTGCGAAATTGTGGCAAAACCAAAGTCCACAGTGTCTGGGAATTTTACCCCTACACTTAAGACAGTCTGTCTCTGTTCTATTTGCAACGTAAACTGTACAAAAGTGACCAGAACAAAGTCGAGACGCTGTCGAAAGCTTCTAAGATAAGATTGCTAGCCAAAGTACACAAACAAAAAACCAGCAGACTGTGGAGTTGTGGTATTCTCATCGACTACTGTCTGACTGTCAGACTGCTGCTCACTCGGTTGCACCTCGGTCCAAAGTTCGACGTATTATCCACTACTTCTTATCACTTTGGTGCCAAAGTACAACGTGCTCTCCCCTCTAGCCAAATATTTGAGTCAATTTCTACGAATTTCACACACTTTAGTGCTGATAATCATTAGTAATTTGTTTACATTTTCATTATAGCAGTTCTTCCAAGACGGAGCTCGAATTGAAAGTGCTTTTCGCAAATACTTCCATCGCGCGGACCCCGGACAAAAGGACGACAGCTACGATGTGCTGGTTTGCCATGGCAACGTGATACGATACTTTGTATGTCGAGCCTTGCAGTTTCCGGCTGAAGGATGGCTCCGCTTCTCACTCCACAACTGCAGTCTGACCTGGGTGGCCATCAAGCCCAGCGGCAGAGTGGTCGTGTACACCGTCGGCGATACAGGTCACCTGAAGCGAGCACAGATGACTACCAGCTAGGAAGTTGCTGCTTCGAGTCACCATCTTCAGTCAATGTATTATAACGCTCACCTTTCATCCAGACCCCCTATCTCACTCTTTGCCAACAACCCTGGAGCTATTCTGTCCCGTCCACCACCAGCATCACCACCAACGACAACTTGTCTGTGTCGGGCGAATTCTGCGCAATTTTGTATCATAAATCATAGCCTCAATTGATCTTGTTAATAACTTCTTTTTTCTATTTTTTATTGTATTTATAACATTACATTTGCAAAGATACACTATTACAATTATTTTTCAGATAGTAGATGATTGTAATGATGATGATTAAGTGATGATACTAGGGTGATGCCACTGTTTTACGACGTTGTTACTTTCGAGATTTACATTTAACACTGTCCATCAGAGCACTTGAATCGTGAGAAGACTGTAATCTCTGAACAGATAGGCCTTAAAGCAGAGTAAGCTCTAGCGCACGGGTGAGACCTTTTTTACCTCTAGGTCTTCAACTGCAGCTAAACTTTCTGTAAAGTCACTTTATTTTTCTACTGCAAATCACACACACACACACACGCGACTCCTACGCTCACTTGACCTGTGTGAAGAATACTGCACAAGTATTACTCAATCAATTCAGTTCTCTCTGTACATACAAACACAAATGTCACCATGTACCTCATGTTTTTCACGTTAATAAATTGACTCAAATAAATGGCGCCTCTTTGGTCTGGATTTGAAAGTACTTGGGCGCCAGTGTCACGGGCAACTTGGCCATGTTTGGGTTAAGCAGCCAACTAAAAGGGAGAGAAAGAGTGAGTTTTGGCCGGTGTTTGGCGCCAGACAAACAAACGCTGGCGACTATTGCTCAGCAGAGCACCTTCTGTGGAAGTAGCTTTTGGCAGAGCACACAATTTTAGCAGCACACAGCAGTAGCAGCAGTAGAAGTCTCACATTCAGAATCTTTATTGTTGTCTTTACCATCAGTGAAACGATATCGCCAGATCGCCAAACCTTACCTCGCCACGCCGACGGACCACACCGCCTGCAAAGTTGAGGCCTGTGCCGCGTACTACCTCTTCGAGTGCAGCCCCAGAGACGCAATAAACCGAGTGCCTCTGTCAGCGGCGGCGAATCAACTCGCTGTCGGCCACGGATCTCCGCTCCATTCATCAAATCGGTCAGTTGCAATTCGTGCTGATTCGCTCTTTACAAGCATAACCGCTCATCACTAACTTTACTCTCCATACCGTTGACACCTCCATCCATTCTGTGTATACACAGTTCAATGTATATAAATAACACCACAACTATCAACAACAATGGCAGATAGAAGAAAATTGCAAGGTACGGCTGTTCTCTGGTGTTTGCATTCTGAAACACCTGACATAATGACATTACACTAACTTTAATTGCTTCGACAGGTGAAATTGAACGGTGCTTAAAGAAGGTCACCGAAGGCGTGGAAACCTTCGAGGACATTTGGCAAAAAGTTCACAATGCCACTAACACCAATCAAAAGGAGAAATATGAGGCTGATCTCAAAAAGGAGATTAAGAAGCTTCAAGTAAGTAAAGAGTTTATCAAGTGTCATTGTGCTCTTAGTAATAACGTCACTCTATTTGATGAATTGCAGAGGTTGCGTGATCAAATAAAAACCTGGCTGACTTCGAGTGACATCAAAGACAAACGCCAGCTGGTTGATAACCGAAAACTAATTGAAACTCAGATGGAGAGGTTCAAAGTGGTCGAGCGGGAAACAAAGACCAAGGCATACTCTAAGGAAGGCCTTGGTGCCGCACAGAAGCTCGATCCAATACAGAAAGAGCGTGATGAAATTACCAACTGGCTCTCGTGCTCTATCGATACTCTTGGCGTGCAAGTAGATCAATTCGAGTGCGAAATTGAAGCACTACAATTAGTGCAGAAAAAGGGCAAGAAACCTGATCGGGACAAGACTGAAAGGGGAGAGCATCTGAAGAATCGAGTCGAGAAGCACAGATACCATGTAAAGCAACTGGAGACGCTGATGCGAATGCTCGACAATGATACCGTCACAGTTGACCAAATAAAAAAGATCAAGGATGATATTGAGTACTACATCGAGTCGTCTCAGGAGGACGATTTCCAGGACAATGAGTACATCTACGATGACCTCGACCTTGAAGACATGAACGCCTTCAGGGCGAACAACGTCGTCGATTCTACAAACTGCCCCTTAACAAAAAGTGCTTCCACAACATCTGCCTCAGATTTGAAAGCTAACAGCTCCTCAAATACGGCCTCAGTTGATAACGATGATTCTAATGCTCAATCGAACTCGTCGTCCACCAACGATTCTCCGGCACCAAGTCCTAGTTTGGTGAATAGTCATTCCAACAACAAGACGACTAACAATGCAACTAGTGAATTCGCATTTACTTCTGTCAATTCATCTCCTGTGACCACCACCCCTACAACCACCAACATCACCAACAATACCACCACGAAAGTCTTGCCCCCTGCGGTCAACTCAAACACCAGCCAGGGGCAGAGCTTTTTTCCCTCCTTTGCGGCCCAACTGAACAAAAGTGCACTTTCCACCAGCGCGGACTCTGACACCAAAACGACGAATGCCGAGACTAAAGTCTTGCCGCCTATGGCAAACTCAAACAGCAGCCAAGCGCAAAACTTTTTCCCCTCTTTTGCAGCCCAACTTAACAAAAGTGCACTTTCCAATAACACTACCAACACTACCAATACCAATCTGAGCGTCAACTCAACCTCGAATGCAACTTCAAACTCAAACTCCAACACAACTACGAACAGCAATCCAAAAGTCTTGGCTCCTCTTGTCGTCAACTCTAGTAGCCAATCTCAAAACTTTTTCGCCTCAGCTACAACTCATGAGTTTGAATTTACCTCCTCTATCAGTTCATCTCCAGTGGTATCCACTAATAACGCCGCCGCCGCCGCCACCACCACTACAACAAACACCAACATCAATATAAACAGCAACACCACCAACTCTAACATCAACTCCAACACCACCACCAACTCAAGTATCGACACTGACACTGACCCCTACTCCTACAGCAACAGTGANACCACCACTACAACAAACACCAACATCAATATAAACAGCAACACCACCAACTCTAACATCAACTCCAACACCACCACAAACTCAAGTATCGACACTGACACTGACGCCTACTCCTACAGCAACAGTGACGCAAACACAAACTCTAAAGACTTGGCTCCTCTGGTCAACTCCAACAGCCAATCTCAGAACTTTTCACCCTCCGTTGCAACTCACGAATTCGCATTTACTTCAATCAACTCATCTCCGGTGAGCACAGCGACCATCACCACCACCACCACTACTACCACCCATAACAACATCAGCAACAATATCAACAATATCAACAGCGACGCCGACGCCGACGGCTGTATCAACAACATCAATACAACCGTCGCCGCCGCTGCCCCCAACAGCAACCCGAAGGTCTTGCCTCCTATGGTCAACTCTAACAACCAATTGCAAAGCTATTATCCCCCCATTGCGGCCCAATTGAACAAAAGTTCACTTTCCAAGCAGTTTCTCTATCAAATGCATTTACTCGAGTCAGCGTATCGACATCCGATCATACCGCTGGATTCGCATCGCTTAAAGTAACTTGTACTTTTCTGGTTGGTTTTTGGTGTTTAATCTTTGTCCTTTTCATTGTAGACCTTTGACAAAGATGCTGCCTACTGCAACGTCACCCATGCAGATATCAGCCTACCCTACTCAAATCATGCCACAGTTTGAAAACCTCGAGTTCTACCAACGTGTGGCACCTGAAACTTTGTTTTTTATTTTTTACTACATGGAGGTTTGTAAAGTTTCAAGAATTATTCCTGTAGCACTTTCACTTTCAACCATATGACCGCTTTCTTTAATCTTTAGGGAACCAAAGCGCAATATCTGGCTGCCAAGACGCTAAAGAACCAATCCTGGCGATTTCACACCAAATGTATGATGTGGTTTCAGCGGCTGGAAGAGCCCAAGATGATCACCGAAGAGTATGAACAGGTTGGTTGACCGGATCAGTTTAATACTGCTCTTATTATTATGCTGTATGTTCCGATGATTCATGTGTTTTATTTGTACCACCACACAGGGAACTTATATCTACTTCGATTTCGAAAGATGGCAACAACGGAAGAAGGAAGGCTTTGTATTTGAGTATAAGTACTTGGAAGATAAAGATTTGAACTGAAGAGGATTTGTGTCAAATTATTGCACTTTTAAAAATATTATTCATTGTGATAAATCACAATCATTCACATCTGACCGCTAAATTATTTTACGCTTGTATATTATTATTATTATATTTACAAAAACAATAACAAGGATAGTGATCTATTAACTTTATTCAAACTTAACCAAGCCAGTCACTCTTTTAGGCTATTCTTTCCACTCCCAGCAAGTCCTTGAGGATGGCTATGGACTGCTCTGGCTTTTGCGTCGGCACCATGTGTCCTGTTGAGGAAGTTAGTAGGGGGAATAATAGTCGAACGAGTAGAAGTAGGTGGTACAAACCTGCTCCGTGGACGGTAAAGAAGCGCAGTCCATTGTCGTACCGGGAGGCGACTCCGGCGAGAGCACCATTCAGTTTCCAGATGCGACTTGCCTCCTTCAGCCTGTACCTCATGTGGTGCGNAGGTACAAACCTGCTCCGTGGACAGTGAAGAAGCGCAGTCCATTGTCGTACCGGGAGGCGACTCCGGCGAGAGCACCATTCAGTTTCCAGATGCGACTTGCCTCCTTCAGCCTGTACCTCATGTGGTGCGCCAGAAATCTCTGCGTGGAGAGGAAGTCGCAGACAATGTCCGCATCGCCGCTGTAGAGGATGACATTGGTGAAGCGGTGCTTCTCAATGATGTCCCGGAAGACGGTGTCCATGGAGGTGTACTGCTGCTGGTACGTCATCAGAATGTGCTCATTGCTGCTTTCCCAGCGCCGGGCACGCACCCCCTCTGCCACATGCAGGGCAGTCTTCACCTGGTCCTGGTTCAGGTACTCGGTGAACTGGGAGCCCACGCACTCGTGCGTTACGTTTGCCCGCGTATCTGCCAAAGTTTTGCAAATCCATATTTGAACGTTTGTACGGCAAAGTATGAGAAAGAGAGAGTGTGTTACCTGTAGTGTTGCACGTGTCGTAGACGTAGTAAATGTTGAAGCCAGTAGCTCTCATTTCAATCAACGTTAGACCCAGCAGTTCGGAGCACTTTGTGTTGCCATTGCGCACTCCCACTGAATAGTTGGAGTAGATGGAGGGGTAGTCGCACTGGATGGTCACATTGCGGGCGTCCAGGTGACAGCAGGTCGCCTGCAACTGGTCCCACCTGTCAATGCCAATCAGGCCATGGAAGTAGGAGAACTCAATGCGAGACTGGGACAGAATGTCAATGTCGTAGACACCATTTCCAATGGCAATGCCTGCAAGGAACCGAGGTTAGTTTGCTGGCCACCACTTCTTCACCACAGCCACAGTTTTTTACCCACCTTGTAAATTAATGCCGTTTTCCTGTTTATTGTCGAGAATTTTACGTGTTAGCAGGGGCAGATACACCCCACCGTAGCTTTCGCCTGATAAAAGTATTGTAATAATTAGTTAAAATGTATTGAGTTATTCTTCTTAATTAACCAATTACCTGTCATGTAAAATTTATTCTTCTTTAAATGCGGAAACTTTTTGAAAAAGCTAACTAGTGCATTGTATTTAGCGTCAGTGGCTGCTTCATCATTGTACATGTCCACCTCTGCCAGGTGCGAGGAGTTGTAGGAGAAGCCAACGTTAACTGGCGACTCCAGGTAGAGCATGTTGGCGAACCGATTCCAGCTGTACTTATCATGCTCTAGCGTTTTTCCATCGGATTTAACGCGAAAAGGCCCGTTCTCTGCAAAGGTTCCACTGCCAATGCTGGATGCACCAGGTCCACCTAAATGGCAGAGTCAATCAATCAGCAGCAGAGTAGTTTCAGTCACATTGTACATACCATTCAGCCATAAAACGACAGGATCGGTGGTTGCATTATTTGTGCTCTCGAACATCCAGTAGAAAAGGTTCCGCCCTTTGGAGCCGTCAAGGTACCCTGAATACTGCCTGAATGGAAGCTTCCCACTTAGGCCTGGCAAACTTTTGACTTCATCTTGCGGAAATGCAAACCCTTGCTGGGTGGCAAACAGTGCCAACAAGAGGAAAATGATCAGTTTCATTGTGCAGATGAACAGGTGATCGACTTAATGACTAAATGAAAATGAAAGCTGTTGATTGTCTTTTGTACAAGCTGAACTAGACTGTTTCTAAATTGTTACTCATCACTGCGCTCATCACTTACTCATCATTGTGAAGGCATATCTAATCGCCAATCTACTACTCTCTTTGTTCCACTTGAGTCTTTCTCACCTTTTGTAAAGCTTTGAGTGTGCGGGGATTTTCCTGCTTAAACCACGAAAGTGTACATTTATCGAACTCTCCAGTTGCAATAAAAAACTGTTTTTTATTTTCTAAAAAAATCTTTTTATGGAAACCACTGACCACTGCTCAAAAGTGCGACAGCTCATATGTGGTTTTCACATTCTCTTCTGTTTTAGAGGGTGTTTAAAACACGACAAATGNTGAGTCTTTCTCACCTTTTGTAAAGCTTTGAGTGTGCGGGGATTTTCCTGCTTAAACCACGAAAGTGTACATTTATCGAACTCTCCAGTTGCAATAAAAAACTGTTTTTTATTTTCTAAAAAAATCTTTTTATGGAAACCACTGACCACTGCTCAAAAGTGCGACAGCTCATCTTATGTGTTTTTCACATTCTCTTCTGTTTTAGAGGGTGTTTAAAACACGACAAATGAGTAGCATACAATCGTCGAACGGTCACGACGCATCGCTAATCAAAGCATCGGCATTGTCTCTAAGCGCCTAAACACTCTCAGTGGCGATAATTGCAGGCAATCGTTAATTGGAGACTCCAAGAGAAGTGTTTAATTACTGTGCCGATTACATGCGGCGGTTACACAGGTCTGCACGAGGCTGCCTGTGATTGAGAAGGAAGGGGGAGATATGCACTGGCAAAGGCAAACCAGTGAGCTGTTGTCTAACTGTGGACAACAGGTAATGCACACACACACAAACAATACAAACCATTTGTCCGAACAAAGTTGGAACAAGTGCGTTCTCTGTTCACCGTGCAATGCTGTTTTTGCGACAACTCAAAAGAAAAGGTATCCAAAGGAGAGGGGGGTCTCCGAATGAGTTGTCACACTGACTCTGACGGAGGAGGTCAAACCTGATTTACAGTGTCACTGGTGCGTTTAAAAACGTGATAGCTCTCTAAAAGTATCACGTCCGGTGGTGGCAACACTTCTTGACGAAAAACTAAGCTCGGATGACTAATTATAATTGCGTTTTGCAGGCTACTTGAGGAACACAAAAAAAAGTGTCACTAATTATTAAATGGTCGCATGCACAAGCTCGCTTTTTACGCTGCTTTTATTGATTACCAGTGAAAGCGTGAGACCTAGACAATGCTCTCTCTCTCTCTCTCTCTCTCTCTCTCTCTCTCTCTCTCTCTCTGTGTGTGTGTGT